TACATAGATACATAGATACATAGATAGATACTCTTCCAAGGAATTTATAAAGGAAGAAACCATTACCACCTATTTTTTTAATAAAGGCAATATTGTTGCATTGATTCCAAAAAAACAGGAAAAGGTGGTATTTCAAAAGAAAACCATAGCCCAACCTTATAAATGTATATGCAAAATTAGTAATATGTTAAATAATGCATTAGGACTGAGAGGAAATTTATCCTAAAAGTATAAGTATAGTAAGTTCAATATTATTTCAATAATTTATTAATGAATTTTGCCATTTTAATAGGAAAAGGGAGCATACCATAGCCACATCATAGACGGGAAAAAAGTATTTGATAAAATTCAACATCTGTTCTGGATTTTAAAAAACATAATAAAAGAGAACAATTTGGATTTTTTTTTTTTTAAAGACAGAGTCTTACTCTGTCACCCAGGCTAGAGTCAGTGGTGCTATCTTGGCTCACAGCAACCTCTGACTCCCAGGTTCAAGTGATTCTCCTGCCTCAGCCTCCAGAGTAGCTGGGATTATAGGTACCTGCCAGCATGCCTTGCTAAGTTTTGTATTATTAGTAGAGACGAGGTTTCACCATCTTGGCCAGGCTGGTCTCAAACTCCTGACCTCATGATCCACCCGCCTCAGCCTCCCAAAGTGCTATGATTACCAGCATGAGCCACCGCACCTGGCCTGGATACTTCCTTAACTTGATAAGACCTTCTGTGTCTCAAGTGAAAGTCAGTAGCCGATGTAATGGAAGAACTCTGCATATGTTCCCATTCAAGTGAACAACCTGTCCCTGCTTTGATTTGCTTTCTTCTAGAGGACCTGCCAGTGCAGTTAATCAGAGAATGAAGCAAGAAACATAAATATTGGACAAGACAAGAAAAAACTGTATTTGTGGATGAAATAATTGTCTATCCCAAAAGCTCTAGAAGATTAACCATTATAGTTATTAAGGAAGTTCAGTAAGGTGACTGGTTTAAAATGACTATAGGAAAATTGATAACTTTTTAAAGTTGCAGTCAGTAATTAAATGGATAAAAATATTCCATTTAGAATGGTAACTGAAAACACAGTTGACTATCCAGTAACAGATATAAAAAGAAAATTGGAGTACCCATGTGAAAGCATAAAACATGACATTTTGAGACGTGAAGAAAGTCTTGAATAAATGTGGAAGCCTTGTTCTCTGATTGGAAGGCTCAAAAATTTTCAAAATTGTCGATATTTTCTTATATGAATAGACAAATTCAGTACAGTGTTACTCAAAATATTAAGAAGGGATCTCTTTGCTCCAAATTTTAACAGAACAATTCTATAGTTTATGTTGAAGATGAAACATTTGAGAATATCCAGGACATTTATGAAAAATAAGTAATAAGAGTTAATGTGCTAGACAAAACTTTAAAACATACAGCTTTGGGAGGTAGAAGCTGTGACCTAAGAGGAAGAAAAAGTTGAGAGAGAAGATACCGAGTTCACTTTTGTGTATGGCAATGAGAGATCTATGATTAGATCTCTCTAAGCAGATTTGTGACTAAGAGCATCCAGATGATGGTTTCTGTATGGGAAAAATATGGCTTTTGAGTTCAAATGTTGGGGACTAATGAAAGGATGTGTAAGTCACAATCATGTCACAATGCTGAGATGGTGCCCATCAGAAGGCTGCCGTGCTGCTAGAAGAGTGACTGACTGCAGGGCGCTACTGCTTTCCAAGACTGACTTTTTTTTTTTAATTGGATTCTTGCGTTGTCACCCACACTGGAGTGCAGTGGTGTGATCTTAGCTCACTGTAACCTCTGCCTCCCAGGTTTAACCAATTCTCCTTTTCCAGCCTCCTGAGTAGCTGGGACTAAAGGTTCATGCCACCAAACCCTGCTAATTTTTGTGGTTTTAGTAGAGATGGGGTTTCACCATGTTGGCTGGGGTGGTCTTGAACTCCTGGCCTCAAGTGATCTGCCCACCTCAGCCTCCCAGAATGCTGGGATTATAGGCATGAGCCACCATGACTGGCCTAAGATTGACTCTTTACCAAGAAAGATAATGATTGACTTCATCTTCAAGTGGGTTCTCCCCATAGTTGCTCAGTTTTAGGGAGGAATTGGGGCTGAGGGAGGAAGGGAACTTTGTTTTTCATATTTCCTTACTTAATCAGGATAGGTGGCACTGATTTTTGTCTGCCACATTTGGCTCTGTGTGCAGATGGGCATCCCCAGTAGGAAAAAATGTTTTTAAATAAAAAAGAAAAATTACTAGCTAATTTTACCTTGTTGTTGAAGGAAATTGAAGAAAATATTTCTTATAGTTTTACCAGATATATCAAATTACTATTTCCTGCCTTCATATTTTAGTCTATTCTACAGCTGGAGGTGATCTTAGTTGTATTCAATGGGCACATTAGCCCAGGTGTGGTGGCTCATGCTGGTAATCCCAGCTACTTTGGAGGCTGAGGCAGGAGAATCGCTTGAACCCAGGAGGGTAGAGGCTGCAGTGAGCCGAGATTGCACCACTGCACTCCAGACTGGGCAATGAGAGATCAACTCTGTCTCAAAAAAACAAAATGTGGACATCAGATGTTGCATTGTTCTTTTAGAAGACAAATCTGTCTCCGAGAGGCAGTAAGACTGGGAAGTTATAAACCCAGTGCTACAGCCAGGCTAGTGGGATCTGTATCTCAGTGCATCTGGATGCTAGTTCTTCACCTCTCTTGGCACCATGCCTTTATCTAAAAATGGAGTAGGACTCGGTTTAGAGGGCAGCGTGAGGAATAAATGAGTCAATATGAGGAAATAACCTTACACAGTGCTTAAGTTGAGATCAGGGCTCAATAAATACAAACTAGTGTTTTTTTCTATTTCCATCAGTTCTATGATGTGTCATACTTTTATTTGTTCTTCCTACATGAGACTATGCTTGTTCTGATTTGTCATTATTGTTGTTATTATTCCTATTATCCAAATAAATATATAATTATGAGGCTATTGGAAATTTAGAAAAATGAACACATCAAAAATGAAATGTAAATTCCTTTCAATCCCTTCACTCAGAGAAAACAACTGTTAATATTTTCATAGATTTGGACTTACATAATCTTAAAAATAGAGTTATGCTTCACATTGTATGTTATGACTTGTATTTCCTACTTCAAAATACATCACAAATGCGCTTCCAAGTCAGGGAGTACACCACTCCATTACTATGTCTTTTCTTTTTTGTTTCTGAAGTGAAGTCTTGCTTTGTCGCTCAGGCTGGGGTGCAGTGGTATGATCTGGGCTCACTGCAACCTCCGCCTCCCGGGTTTAAGTGATTCTCCTGTCTCGGCCTCCTCAGTAGCTGAGATTACAGGTGTCTGCCACCATGCCCGGCTAATATTTTCTATTTTTAGTAGAGACGAAGTTTCACCATGTTGGCCAGGCTAGTCTGGAACTCCCGACCTCAGTTGATCTGTCCACCTCGGCCTCCCAAAGTCTAGGATTACAGGTGTGAGCCACCGTGCCTGGCTTCCATTTCTGTTTCTTTCTTTCTTTTTTTTTTTTTTTTTTTTGTGATGCAGTCTCACTCTGTCACCCAGGCTGGAGTGCAGTGGCATGATCTTGGCTCACTGCAGCCTCTGCATCCCGGGTTCAAGCGATTCTCCTATCTCAGCCTTCTGAGTAGCTGGGATTACAGGTGCCCCCCACCACGCCCAGCTAATATTTTCCATTTTTAGTAGAGATGAGGTTTTGCTTTGTTGGCCAAGCTAGTCTTGAACTGCTGACCTCAGTTGATCCGCCCACCTCGGCTTCTCAAAGTGCTGGGATTATGGACGTGAGCCACTACACCAGGCCTCCATTACTATTTCTATTGCCTGCCTTGGGTTCTGTTCTGTCACTCACCAATATCAGTCCACCAGTCTTTTAATTGCTTTGTGTGGTGGCTTACATCTATAATCCCAGCACATTGGGAGGCCAGGATGGGTGGATCGCTTGAGTCCAGGAGTTCAAGACCAACATGGGTAACATGGTGAAACCCTTTCTTCTCAATTAAAAAAAAAAAAAGCAAATATTAGCCAGGTGTGCTGATGCTTATCTATAATCCCTCCTACTCAGAAGGCTGAGGTGGGAGGATCACCTGAGCTTGGGAGTTCGAAGCTGCAGCAAGCGTGATCGTGCCACTGTACTCCTGCCTATCTCAAATAAATAAATACATAAATGAAAAAAAATAAATTATTGCTGGCACATTTTGATTGCTTCCAGTTGTTTTACTTTTGTAAGCAAAGATGAGGTGAACATCTTGTACCTTTATCTTTTACTTTAGTGAGACTAATTAGTTCCTTGGGACACATTATTGGATGTCAAAGCGTGGTTTAATGAGTGTGCACTCTAGAAATTCTGATCTAAATGCCTTCAGGAAGCTGGAATGTCCTACCCTCCTACCAGCAATGTAAGAGATACAGTTTGCATCTTTGCCAATCTTATAAGCTAAAAAGACCATTTTCATAATCTCGTGGAAAAGACTTTTACTAAAAATACTACCAGAAGCAGAAAGCATAAGGGGAAAAAAATCAACAAGTTGATAATTAAAAATAACCAGAAAAATTTGCTTGATATTTGGAAATTAATAAATCCAGTTTAAGGACAAATGACAAATAAGGACAAATGTCATACTATAAAAAGATGTTTATAACAAATATGACAAAGGATTAATAGCCTCAATATATAAAGAGCACTTGTGTATTAATTTTTGAAAATAAACAACTCAGGAAAATCGTAAGTTAAGAGCATAAACATTGTTTACAAAAGAAATGCAATTGGCCAATAAATACATGAAGAAAATGTCTTTTTCCATCAGAAATTAAAGAAGGGTAAAATAATAAATAAGTGATGGGGAAACTGAGACACATACAGACTAAGTAACTCATTCGGCATCACACATCAGTAAATAGCAGAGCCTACATTCGAACCCAAGTCGTCTGGCTCCTGAGTCTCTGTTTGACAGCCTCTTTTTGTTTTCACAGGTGAGGAAACAGGCCTAGAGAGGCAAAGTGTCTAGCCCAGATTCCCTCAGTCAGAGGAATTACTTGGCCTCTAGCTTGTATCTGAGTCATTCCCTGGCTCAGGGAGTGACTCAGACACAAGGGTCTTTGTGGAAGTTCCCCCTGCCCCAGTCCCAGAGCAGAGCCATTGCTCAGGTATGTCTCCTGCACCGCTCTGCAGGCTTTTCCCCCTGAGGTTCCAGGGAGTGTTTGGGGAGGGACAGTTGGATGACTCTCACCATGGGATCTGCTTACCTTCAGGTCTTCTGGGTGCCTTGCAGACCTTTGGCTCCTACCACCTTGCTGCATGGTAGGGCTCTCTAGCCACAGGACCTTGGTCAAAACATCTACAGAAGGCCCTGCCAAGCCCTGCAGGTGAGTGTGAGTTATCATTGAGATATGGAGCTGTAAGCACCCAGGCAGGCCATGGAACTTGGGACAAAAATTCCCTCCTGAAGGAATCACCCAGGCCCCATACCTCTTGTCAGAGCAAAGACTCTCACATAAAAGGAAATAGCTTCATCCCTGAGCCAGAAGCAGAGCAAGACCCAACCTGAAGACATTACTCTTTCTAGGGACTCTCCTTGGCTAAATGATGGGAAGAGGGTTGGGTCAAGATCCAGGGAGACAGAGTGAAGGGAGAGGTAGGGAGGCCAGAGTCTCACTGCAGGCGCGATAGGCATGTTCTGTGAGGAGTAGGGGACATCCATCTAGCCCAGTGCGTTCTGCTATCTTGTGCTATGGGGTGTGGCCAATCTCCTCCTTTATTCTTGCTGGATCTTTCCAGACTAAGCTGCTCTCTCCTGTCATTTTTGGCACCTCACCTGGCCTTTTGAACTATAATGAATTCACTCCATTTTGACTCAATAGAAAAGACCCTGGATTCTCAGAATAGTGGTGGCGGCAGAATTTATGGACCTACTGTATATTTTCTTTTGTTTTGTTTTGTTGAGACAGAGTTTCACTCTTGTCGCCCAGGCTAGAGTGCAATGGTGCAATCTTGGCTCACTGCAACCCCCACCTCCCTGGTTCAAGCAATTCTCCTGCTTCAGCCCCCTGAGGAGCTGGGATCATAGACACGTACCACCACGCCTGGCTAACTTTTATATTTTTAGTAGAGACGGGGTTTCACCATGTTGACTATGATGGTCTCAAACTCCTGACCTCAAGTGATCCGCCCATCTCAGCCTCCCAAAGTACTGCGTTTACAGGCATGAACCACTGCACCTGCCCAGTTTTTGCTTTTTGTTTTGTTTTGTTTTTAATTAAACATTTTATTTGGAAATTTTTTTCCAAAAAAAAGCAAGAATATCACTGTGGGCTCCTATGTATTCCTTACCTAGGTTCATCTGTATAAAGCCATATTTGCATGTGCTCTCTCTATATACAAATATATATGTATATAGATGATTATGTCCTATCATAAATATATATCATTCTTATTCTTTATTTTCTTTAACTACTTAAGACTAACTTGCAGACATGATGCTCCATTACCTGTAAGTACTTCAGGGTATATTTCCTAAGAATGAGAACATTTTCTTATATAACCAGTAGTTTTCAAAACCAGGCAGTTAACACTGATTACTAAGTCATTATTATAATCATTTAATAATCATGATAACTAGACTAATATAGAATAGAGACTAGACTAATCCAATCTATAATCAGATGTCAACTAATACTGTCACTTTGTCACTTTATAGCAACCTTTTTTTTTTTTTTGAGATGTCGTCTTGCTCTTGTTGTTATGCAATGGTGCAATCTGGGCTTACTCCAGCCTCCGGCTCCCGGTTCAAGTGATTCTCCTGCCTCAGCCTCCAAATTAGCTGGGATTACAGGCGTCTGCAAGCGCACCCGGCTAATTTATATATTTTTAGTAGAGACAAGGTTTTACCATGTTGCCCAGGCTGGCCTCAAACTCCTGACCTCAGGCGATCTGCCCACCTCGGCCTCCCAAATTGCTGGGGTTACAGGCATGAGCACTGCGCCTGGCCCTGTGGCACCTTTTCTTTTTCCATTGCAGGTTCCAATCCAGGATCATATGCTGCCTTTAGGTGATACATCCCTTTAGTCTCCTTTAATCAAGAGCAGTTTCTCAGTCTTCGTCTTCCATGAGGTCATTTTTGAAGAGTATAGGTAGGTTATTTTGTATAGTGTAACTCAGTATGGTTTTGCCTGATGTCTCCTCATTGATTAGGTTCAGGTATGCATTTGGCGCATGAATACCACAGAAGGGATGTTGTACCTTTCACAGGAGACACACGATGTCTTTTATCTCATTACTGGTCATGTTAACTGATCGCTTGACTAAGCGATACTGCCAAGTTTCTCCACGGCAAAGTTACCTTTTTTCCTTGTATAATCATTACATGTCTTGGGTTGTGGGGCATTTAGATACTATACTAACTATGCTTTATGGTCTCTGCTTTATGACCTATATAACATTTCAAAGTATTTGAAACAAATAAGAGATAAAGAATATTTATTTGTTTGTTTATTTATATTTAATTTTTGAGATGGGGTCTTACTCTGTCGCCCAGGCTGGAGTGCAGTAGTGGGATCATGGCTCACTGCAGCTTTGACCTCCTGGGCTCAAGCAATCCTCCCACCTCAGCCTCCTGGGTATCTAGGACTATAGGCATGCACCACCATGCCTGGCTAATTTTTTATCTTTTTTGTAGAGACAGGGTTTTGCCACATTGCTCACTCTGGTATCTAACTCCTGGCCTCAAGTAACTCTCCTACCTTGGCCTCCCAAAGTGCTAGGAGTACAGGTGTGAGCCACCGCGCCCAGCTAAAAGCATGGATTTTTGTACAAGATTTACAAAAGGAATTTGCAATTTCCAAGACAGGTCTAGTCCCTCATACACTGTTCTCTGTTTTCTCTTTCTCCGTCTTCTTCCCCCGACATGTCTACAGGTGTCGCATCTTTTTCCAAGAACAGCAGAAAATGATCAACTACCAGGTGAGTATCACGTTAAGTAGCCCAGTTTTCCTTCCTGGGGAAACTGTCCTAGAATTTAAAAAAAAGGATGCATTGTAAGTATGTACACTTTGTACATATGTACAGTTAGTACATACATACAGGCTGTGTTCTCAGGAAAGCAGACTCATAGATGGAGATTTTTCTCACAGGAATATTATTAGGCAGGCTCTTAGAAAGCATATTCTGTTTATTTACATCAGGTATACCTCATGTTATGATTTTAGTGGTTACTCTAGGGATACAATATAGATTTTAACTTTTCACAGTTAGAGTTAGCATTATACCACTTCACATAGAATGCAAGCAGCTCACCTCATGCCTTCTAGAATATGCTTTCTGCATACACTTCTTCTTTGATAGAGTTTTCATTGTCCTAAAGTCCACCATTTAATAAGTGGCAGACCTCTGCGTGCTTTTTTTTTCTTTTTTTGAGATGGAGTCTCACTCTGTTGCCCAGGCTGGAGTGCAGTGTCACGATCTTGGCTCACTGCAATCTCCACCTCCCGGGTTCAAGCAATTCTCCTGCTCCAGCCTCATGAGTAGCTGGGACTACAGGTGCCTGCCATCACTCCCAGCTAATTTTTTGTATTTTTAGTAGAGATGGGGTTTCACTGTGACAGCCCAGATGGTTTTGATCTCCTGACCTTGGGATCTGCCTGCTTCAGCTTCCCAAAGTGCTGGGGTTACAGGCATGAATCACCATGCCCGGCCTCTGCATATTTTTCTCTTGTTACTAAGTAACTTGCCACCCCTAAAATCACTGTTTTGCCCCCAGGCCTTTCTTCATGCTACTGCCCTGCATAGAATACAGTTTTCCATCTTGCTGCAGAGAAGACTCAGCTCTCCATATCCCTAGTCTTTGAAGAATAACCAGACCCTGAAAAATTTAACAGGTCATTCGCTTCTCTATATGCCATAGCCTGGATGTCCTGCCATCACAGCTCTTGTGACAGTTACTCTGATGGTTTTACATGTTGCTCTCTCTGTGCCAGACAGCGGGCTCCTTGAGGTCAGGACCCTTTTATGACTGAGACCACAGCAACCATCACTGGGTGAAACACACAGTAGGTCTTCAATGTTTGTTGACTCGAAGTATGAATGGCAATGGTATGTAGCTTCCAATGTGATTTTCATTTTCCCCACCATAGATAACACAAAGCCAAGACTGTAAAAGGCCTCCCAGATAGACGATAAGCTCTAACTTGTAAACATTATGAAAATCAATACCAACTCTTGCACAGACACTTTTTTTTTTTTTGAGATGGAGTCTCACTTTGTCACCTAGGCTCGAGTGCAGTGGTGTGATTTTGGCTCACTGCAACCTCCAACACTTAGGTTGAAGTGATTCCCCCACCTCAACCTCCCAAGTAGCTGGGATTACAACTGTGCACCACCATGCCTGGCTAATTTTTGTATTTTTAGTATACATGGGCTTTCACCATGTTTGCCAGGCTAGTGTTGAACTCCTGACCTCAAGCAATCTGCTCTCCTTGGCCTCCCAAAGTGCTGGGATTACAGGCATGAGCCACCATGCCTGGCCCTGCACAAACATTTTTTTCTACATGACTTAATGTCATTTTTATTTCAACAGACACCTGTGTCATTCAGAGATGTGGTTGTGGGCTTCACCCAAGAGGAGTGGCACCGACTGAATCCTACTCAAAGGGCTCTGTACCGGGATGTGATGCTGGAAACCTATAGCAACCTTGTCTCAGTGGGTAAGAACACCTTCACCATACAGTGCAGATTATGTCTGAATGACCACCTTTCCTGTCTCAGTTGCTAAAACCAACTGAAGTACTTTGGAAGGCTGAGGCAGGCGGATCACCTGAGGTCTGGAGTTTGAAAACAGCCTAGCCCACATAGTGAAGCCCCGTCTCTACTAAAAATACAAAAATTAGCTTGGTATGGTGGCGGGCACTTGTAATCCCAGCTACTTGGTAGGCTGAGGCAGGAGAATCACTTGAACCTGAGAGGCAGAGGTTGCAGTGAGCAGGGATCTCACCATTGCACTCCAGCCTGGATGACAAGAGGGAAACTCTGTCTCAAAGAACTGAAGTACCTAGAACCTCTGAAATATTTATTTAGTAATTTATTTAATGGTTATCTAGCACTTTTCTATGTGCCAGAAACTGTTTTAGCCACTTTAAAAATATTAACTTATTTCATCCTCATAAAAGCCTTATGAGCTAGTTACTGTTAGTACCACTCTTTTACAGATTTAGAAATTGAGGCACAGAGAGGTGAAGTAACTTGCCCAGAGTCACCCAGCTAATACATAGCAGAATCAGGATTTGAACCTCAGCATCTGGCAGCACAGAATACATTCTTACCCTGTGCTGCCTCAGTGGGTGTGGCTTGAGTTTCCATGGTCCTGGATCACTAATTCCTTTTGGTTCTGGACAAGGTGTGTGTTTAGTCTCCTCCCAAGTATAATGTCTGTTGTGCAGCCCTTAAAGCTGCCTGAGAGGCCCTGAAGACCAAGGAGCTCTGCCCAAGGCCTGGATCATTTCCCCGAAACAGGTTACGAAGGCACCAAACCAGATGTGATCCTCAGGCTGGAGCAGGAAGAAGCACCATGGATTGGTGAAGCAGCATGTCTGGGCTGCCACTGTTGGGGTAAGTGTGATAAATCTGGCAAAAGGGGTCCCGAAGGAGGCTAGCACCTTTGGAATTTTGTTCAGTGTTCTCTTAAAAGCCTTGACTTACCTCCGAGAGCTTCAGCCGCATGAATGACTCTTCCACTTTCATGCAAACCCACTGCCCATCTGAGTGTTTTTCTCCCCTCTACTTGATTGCATCTCTGCCCTTATGTGCTTGGTCCATCTCTCTTTCTCCAGAATCTTTCACATGCAGGCATTCTTGCAAATAAAAGCTTCTGTGATTCTCCTCTTCCTGCTTCCTATACTCTGTTCTGACACTTTCCAGATGAAATGCTTCAGAGCTACGTGCGGTATACAGTCTCATTACCCATCCTTTCCCTAATTTCTGGACTAATTTAAATCACTTCCATAGAGGACAGTGGGATCAGAGAAGAGGAAGCAGTGAATTCCATGTTGGGGTGGGCAGGTGTGAAGGAAATTGCTGAGTTGGACCATCTTAACCACCACTGATTAACACACGGACTAACTGCCCCTCTCCCTTCAGCTCTGTGAGACATTCCAGCAATACCCATGGTACCCTGAGGGTTGATGGATGGCCCACTCTTAGGGATGCCTCTGAACTTTTGCTTCTGGGGCCCTCTGGGGTATTTTTCTCCATTAAATTGTACTCTTCAGCCCTCCTGAGATGTGGTATCCTGGTTATCAGCTGCCCTACTCTTCTTTCTTCTCTTCTGAAAATTTCATAACTGCAAATTCCACAAGAATGTGTCTAGTCAGCCTCCCTTTTTCCAGCTACTCTGTATTCTCTATTTACCTGGCTCATACTCAGCCTTTTCCTTCCAAAGAACTATTGTGTTTTCTGTTTTTCATAACATGGTCTGTTTCCAGTGATATAACCCTCTTAAGGAACTCATCCATTCTGAGAGTACATGATCTTCACAACTAGCCTCTTTGCCATGTTGAGCCCTGTTTTCTCCCTTGCACTGTCCAGCCCCTCCATTTAACCAGTCTGTGGATTACACTACAGGTGTGCACTTACCCTGTTCTTTGTCTGTCAAAAACTAAAGTCATCTTCATTTGTCCTTGCTACCCCTGACACACACACACACACTCACACACTCACACACACACACACCCCACTTCATCTTGGTTTTATTCCTGAGCTTTGCTACCATGCGGTCATTTTGAATCTTCTGCCTTTACCACTCACTCTAACTGTTCCATTCATATGTGTGGTTTTGTTAATTTTTTTCTTCTGAGAAATGGCTTTGAATCTTCCTTTCTGCCTTTTTTTCTTCTTTTTGAGACAGGGTCTCACTCTGTCACCCAGGCTGGAGTGCAGTGGCACGATCATGGCTCACTGCAGCCTCGACCTCCTGGGCTCAAGTGATCCTCCAACCTCTTAACATCCCGAGAAGCTGGGATTATATTCGCACGCTATCACACCTGCCTAGTTTTCATTTTTTTTTTTGTAGAGATGGGGTTTTGCAATGCTGCTTAGGCTGGACTCAAACTCTTGGGCTCAAGCAGTCCACCTGCTTCAGCCTCCCAAAGTGCTGCAATTACTGGCATGAGCCACCATGCCTAGTCCCTCTCCACTTTTAATTTTCTACTGTTACCTCCTACAATCAGACCCAGACTATTGGATTTGATGAATGAATGTCTTTAAGTGAGGGGTTATTAATTATTTTTGTGCCATGGACTTCTTAGGCATTCTTTTGAAGGCTATAGACCTCACTCCTACATATAAAAATACAATAAAGTTCATAAGATTATAAAATAAATGACCAAAGTACAGTAATTATCAAAATAAGAAGGTAGAAAACAGTTACCAAAATATTGTGAAAATGTGCAGTATAATAGTATAATACACTTTTTGTTTTGTTTTGTTTTGTTTTTTGAGACGGAGTTTCGCTCTTGTTACCCAGGCTGGAGTGCAATGGCGCGATCTCGGCTCACCGCTATCTCGGCTCACCGCAATCTCCGCCTCCTGGGTTCAGGCAATTCTCCTGCCTCAGCCTCCCGAGTAGCTGGGATTACAGGCACGCGCCACCATGCCCAGCTAATTTTTTGTATTTTTAGTAGAGATGGGGTTTCACCATGTTGACCAGGATGGTCTCGATCTCTTGACCTCGTGATCCACCCTTCTCGGCCTCCCAAAGTGCTGGGATTACAGGCTTGAGCCACCGTGCCTGGCCTATACACTTTTTAGTTTATATATTAATGAAGTCTAGCATCAGGTCTGATAACTACCATTATCTCAAAGAAGAGATGATTATAAACATGATAATGTGACATGAAAATAACACTATCCACAAACTAGTACCAAATCACAGGAACTACTGATACTACTGTGTTTTCTTGTTCGTATCCATGGTCAAAGGCAATGTTCAATTATAGTTAGAACTCAGTGAAAACAAAGATGTAATTTTTTTTTGTTTTCTTACTATGATTTCTTTTCTATCAAAGTTCACAACCCCCCTGATTTCTGCCCACCAAGTTAAGAACTCTTGCTTAAGTCCTAGTTAGCCTTGTTGATTTTATTCTTTTATCTGGTTCACCATAGAGTGCTTTGCCATTTACATTGTAACTAGCCCAACCTGATACACCCTTGGACGACTGCTGTACCAGTGCTTGTTAAGCCCTAAGGTGTGAGGAATCACCTGGGCATCTTGTTAAAATACAGATTCTCACTAAGAAGGTCTGGGGCGAGGCCTCAATTCTACACATCTAACAAACTCCAAGTAAGGCCAGAATTGCCACTTGAAGACTCACATGTTGGATAGCACGGTACTGTATAACATTGAACCTTCTTTCTTCTATAACAAGGATCAGCAAACCATGGCCTGCTGATTGGCCACCTGCTTTATGAATAAAGTTTCATTAGAACACAGCCACATTCTTATGTTTACATGTTATCTATATTTTCATGGTATAATGGGAGAGTTGAGTAATCGTGACAGAGACCGTATGGGCCACAAAGCCTTTACTTTCTGACCCTATAAGTTTGCCAACTCTGCTCTGTAATATTCTATTTTCTTTGAAATTACTGCTGTCTGTACTCTATGATTATATTGTTTTAGTCTTCAGAATCCTCGTTACTCATAGAACACTCTTTCCTGTGTTTGTGCTTTGGGTTATGGTTCATGTTCTGTATTCATGTGCTGTGCGCTCTTTAAATTTTGAGAGCATTTCTCAAATGGTATGAAGTTTCATAAGGATGATTCACTGTACTTTCTCCAGAAGACATCTGGAAAGTTAATATCCAGAGGAAAAGACGGCAAGACGTGCTTTTGAGGCAAGGTGCAGCCATAAACAAGAAAACACTGGCCAAGGAAAAACGCCATGACTATAATAAGTTTGGGAAAATATCACTTCTGAGCTCTGATCTTTTTTCTTCAATCCAGAGCCCTGATAACTGGAACCCTTGTGGAAAGAATTTGAGCCATAATTTAGACTTGATTGGTTTTAAGAGAAACTGTGCAAAAAAGCAAGATGAGTGTTACGGTTATGGGAAATTGCTTCAGTGTATAAACCATGGTAGACGACCTAATGGAGAGAAGCCCTGGGGATGCAGTCATTGTGAGAAAGCTTTCACCCGGAACCCAGCACTTATGTACAAACCAGCAGTAAGTGATTCTCTTGTGTACAAACGGAAGAGGGTTCCACCTACAGAAAAACCCCATGTCTGTAGTGAGTGTGGGAAAGCCTTCTGCTACAAGTCTGAATTCATTAGGCATCAGAGAAGTCACACTGGGGAAAAGCCTTATGGGTGCACTGACTGTGGGAAAGCCTTTTCGCATAAGTCAACCCTCATCAAACACCAGAGGATTCACACTGGGGTAAGACCCTTTGAATGCTTTTTCTGTGGGAAAGCCTTCACCCAGAAGTCACACCGCACAGAACATCAGAGAACACACACAGGAGAGAGACCCTTTGTGTGCAGTGAATGCGGGAAATCGTTTGGTGAGAAGTCATACCTCAATGTACATCGAAAAATGCACACAGGAGAAAGACCCTATCGTTGCAGAGAATGTGGAAAATCCTTCAGCCAGAAGTCATGCCTCAATAAACACTGGAGAACCCACACGGGAGAGAAGCCCTATGAGTGCAATGAATGTGGGAAAGCCTTTTACCAGAAGCCAAACCTCAGCAGACATCAGAAAATTCATGCTAGGAAGAATGCCTACAGGAATGAAAACTTAATAATTGTGGGAAATCCTTGAGCAAGATATCTGGTTTCATTGTATGTAGGGAATTTATCTTACTATTTTAATGAAGTTGGACAGTGTTTTATTATCATGGAAATCATGATCTAATTGTGATACAGACTTTTCTAGAAAATACTTTATAAAACATAAGCATGGTCACCCTGGCATGTAAATGTTTAAAAATGTATTATATGGAATAACAACAGAATACAAAATATCTGTAAAGAGACTTAAAGGCATACGATGGCATATTCCACAGTGAGCCATACAATCAGCACTATTTTTATTTTGGAATTGTAAATATGAATTTAACATAAAATGTGAATATCAGACACGTGTCACATAATATAGAGAATGCCATTCACAAAAATTTTTCACTTTAAATATCATCATTGCCTTTTGATGTCTTAACAATACAAAAAAATAACAATAATGACATGGCCCACTGTTTTTTTTTTAAAAACTTTATTATACCAGCTACATTTTCCCACCTTTTTGTAATGCATGTAAATGGCTATAGAGGTTGTTATCATCCTCTGCAGAATAATAAAGCAGTGTTTTTAAAATGTATTGTGATAAGTTGGCAAAAAGCTTTACTAAAATATAGTTATTCATATTGAAAATGCAAAGCTAAGGAACAGCATAAGAACCTGATGTTGGGTAAATGAAACACTGTAGACTTGACAGCCCAGCACACTCAATATTGATGAATTGTAGCATCACCCTGGTATATAGTATACTGTTCATATTTTCTTGGTCTTGCTGAAAATGTCTTACAGCAAATTAATAGCATGGAAACGCTATTCTATACAGGTTGTAAAACTCAGAAATGTTTCATGCACAGACCACTGAAGGAGAATTTCTTTTCTTTCTCTCTTTTTGCAAATTAATTCAAGAACATTCTTTTTTTCTTATAAATTTCCATGCAAGTGTCCTGGACACTAAATCCCAATGTTTTTATTATTTCAATGTTTGAAGAGAAGTGTGCATCCCTGAGTTGCCATGTCATCCACATAAGAAAATAAATGGCCACGTGGAATCTACATTTTTAAAGATTTGCCTCCATATAGGATTGCCTGATTCCGAATGAGAAAGGAGACATAACCACAGATATCAATACAATTTTTAAGTGATAAAAAGATACCTCATATAACTCTAATCAACATATTTTTTAAACAGAGGAAGTGGATGCTTTTCTTGTAAACTTTAAGTTATGAAAACTGCAATAAAAAGCAGAAAACTTGGTAGAACAATTATCACTGAAAAACTCAAAAAAGTGATTACAGATCTATAATGGGAAATTGAGCGAAGCTCAGATGATTTCATGCTTAGTTCTATCTGTCTCTTAAAGAAAGTAATACCAGTGTTATTTATTTTCTAACTTTTATTTTATTGTTATTTTTTGAGATGGAGTTTCACTCTCGTTGCCCAGGCTAGAGTGCAATGGTGTGATCTCAGCTCACTGCAACCTCCGCCTCCCAGGTTTAAGCAATTCTCCTGCCTCAGCCTCCCAAGTAGCTGGGATTACAGGCGTGTGCCACCACACCTGGCTAATTTTTGCATTTTTAGTAGAAATAGTGTTTCACCATGTTGGCCAGGCTGGTTTCGAACTCCTGACCCCAGGTGATCCACCCGCCTTGGCCTCCCAAGGTGCTGCGATTACAAGCATGAGCCACCGTACCCAGCCAGTACCAGTGTTATTTATTATATGGATATAATACAATCCATAAACTGTGCTGCTTGTTTGTTTTATGAAGTCAGAATAAGTGTTAACACCAAAATCAAATACAGATATTTGAAAAAAAGAAAACTTCAGACCAGGCTTACTCATGAATATAGAAACAAAAATTATAAATAAAATACTAGCAAATAGAATTCAGCCATATACCCAAAGATTGGTATAGTAAGAATCATCCTAGGAATGCCAAGCTAGTTCAGTAATAGGAAATACTTCAATAAAATTAACAACTTAAAGGAGAAGAATCATATGAACTATCAACAGATAAGGAGAAAGCATTTCATACAATGTGTTAATATACATTGTAATAGATGGTAACTACTTAAAAAGTTTTTTAAAAAAAATTTAACTGAAACCTCATAGCATATATTATGCCAAAGGCATTTTTAAAAATCAGGAATTCAGTATTGTCTTAGAGGATCCAGTGAAGGCAATAAAAAGAAATGAATTGTTATAAGCTGCAGAAAAGGTAAAACTATCCATTTGTACTGATAATATGGTTGTACACCAATAAATGACAAGACTAATTATTTTTTGAGTTAAGCTAACTTTTCTAACAAGGCAGGGTACCAAAATCAAGAGCCATTCTCCGTGCTGACAAGAAACACCTAATAATTGATATGTACTTCTTTTGGAAGTACACTAAATCTCAATGATTACTTTTTGAAAATCATTGAGAAAAAATATGAAAAAACTCATACCATTTCACAAAACATCATGTGTACCCAATAAATAATACAATTATATATCCATAATAATTAAACATTTTAAAAATGTCATGCTAGATATCAGAAGATAACTTGAAGTCATTCTAATGGAATTAATACTGTATTGGCAAGAAACAGGTAAATAATGGAACACAGCAGAAAATTCAGAAATTGATATATATGGATTTTTTCATAGGTGAAAAAGGTGGAATCTCAAACCATAGGGCAAAAGAGTAGTTTACTTAAAAAGAATTCTGGAACAATAACTTTTTAATCTTGAAGGAAGAAAAGTTAGATTAACAGCACAAAAGTAAATTATGGGTGGATTTAAGACAAAATTTTCAAACAACACAATTCTTAAAAGAAAATCAAAGGAGCCTACATGTACAGTCTAGGAGTTGGGAGAGACTAACTTTACCAACACAGGACACTCAGAAGCTACTTAGAAATAAACATTTGAAGACCGGGTGCGGTGGCTCTTGCCTGTAATCCCAACACTTTGGGAGGCCAAGGTGGGCAGACCACCTAAGGTCAGGAATTTAAGGATAGTCTGGTCAACATGGTGAAACCCTGTCTCCAATAAAAATACAAAAATTAAGCATGATGGTGCATGCCTGTAGTCCCAGCTGCCTGAGAAGCTGAGGCATGAGAATTGCTTGAACCGGGGAGCTAGGGTTTGCAGGGAGTTGAGATGGCGCCATTGCACTCTAGCCTGGGCAACAGAGCAAGACTCCGTCTTAAAAAAGTAAATAAATGAAATAAACATTTGACTCCCTAAAAGGCACAATCTTTTGAGTGACAAAAGATGCCATAAACAGGCCGAGCGCGGTGGCTCAAGCCTGTAATCCCACCACTTTGGGAGTCCGAGGCGGGTGGATTACGAGGTCAAGAGATCGAGACCATCCTAGTCAACATGGTGAAACCCCATCTCTACTAAAAACACAAAAAATTAGCTGGGCATGGTGGCACGTGCCTGTAATCCCAGCTACTCAGGAGGCTGAGGCAGGAGAATTGCCTGAACCCAGGAGGCGGAGGTTGCGGTGAGCCGAGATTGCGCCATTGCACGCCAGCCTGGGTAACAAGAGCGAAACTCCGTCTAAAAAAAAAAAAAAAGCCATAAACAAAGCCAATAGATAATAGATTGTGGGAAAATATTTGTAGAGCTGATCAGAGAGAAGGCACTCATCAAATGGACAGGAAAAAAACCCAGTAGCCAAACACGGCAAAGAATATGAGGTGACAGATGTGAGATGAGCAAATATAAGTGGCCGAGGGACCTGTCCAAAAATGTTTATCCGCAGTAGTCATTTGGCGATGCAGATTTAAAGTTAAAATCAGATATCACTATGTAACAGTGTTTTTAGCTGTCAGAACAAAAGATGTTATACATTGCTGGTGGAGAAATAAATTCTGAAAAGTAATATAAATTACTCTTTTGGAAAGAAATCTGGTAATATTTAGGCTGGTGCGGTGGCTCATATCTGTAATCCTAGCACTTTGGGAGGCTGAGGTGGGCAGATCGCCTGAGGTTGGGAGTTCAAGACCAGCCTTGCCAGCATGGTGAAACCCTGTCTCTATTAACAATGCAAAACTTAGCCAGGCACAGTGGCAGATGCCTGTAACCTCAGCTACTCGAGAGGCTGAGGCAGGAGAATCGCTTGAACCCAGGAGGCAGAGACTGCAGTAAGCCGAGATCACACCATTCACTCCAGCCTGGGCAACAGAGTGAGACTGTGTCTAAAAAAAAAAAAAAAAAAAAAAAATCTGGTAATGACTAAAATACTTTGGTCACTTTGGAGAATCTTCCCTTAGAAGTAAAAGCCCCAATACGTAAAAGACGGATGAACTTGTGAACATGGACATTTATTGTAAAATTGTTCCTAATGGCAAAACAAAACAAAACACCAATGCGAAAACTAGAATCAGAAAAAATCCCCATCAGTTGGGAAATTGGAGGAAGGGAAGAACTATAGTATATCCATTCTGTAGAATGTTGATATAGCCATTAAGGTGGACAGATTAAAACTATGCTAGAGGCCGGGCGTGGTGGCTCAAGCCTGTAATCCCAGCACTTTGGGAGGCCGAGACGGGTGGATCACGAGATCAAGAGATTGAGACCATCCTGGTCAACATGATGAAACCCCGTCTCTACTAAAAATACAAAAAATTAGCTGGGCATGGTGGCGCGTGCCTGTAATCCCAGCTACTCAGGAGGCTGAGGCAGGAGAATTGCCTGAACCCAGGAGGCGGAGGTTGTGGTGAGCCGAGATCGCGCCATTGCACTCCAGCCTGGGTAACAAGAGTGAAACTCCGTCTCAAAAAAAAAAAAAAAACTATGCTAGAATACTTGAGTGGAATTCCACAATGTTCTCTTGAGTGGAAAATGCAAGATAGTAAGTTTGTTAAATATGACTCCATTTTTGTAAATGGCTAACAAAATGTCTCTAGGTGTTTATCAGCAATAAACAGGTATCTATATATGTTTATTTGATTTTATGTGCATGGAGAAAAATATAGAAGAGTATGCATTGACTTGGAGGGAGGTGGGTAATGCAGGTAGGGTATGGGAGAGTTAGGGGTATAGGGAAAAGGAAAACCAAGAAAAGGAAAATACATAAATGACTGAATCATGTGTGATACCACAAATGTGTAAGTTAGTAGATTTGGCTGGGAATGGGGAAGCTAGAATTCTGCTAATTTGTGGGGATGTTCATGGTATATATCGTTAATTGAAAAGGGTACATTTCATAATACTGTTTATGATTCTATTTTTTTTAAAGTTAAAACTCCTATGTGTGTATAGATGCATGTGGAAGTTTATGTGAATGAGAAAAGTGTAGAAAAATATACATGAAAGTGTTAACATTCAGTGGTTTCCTTGGTGGAGAAGGCTAATAAGTTGTGTAAATACTTTTGCATTGTATATTACTTTTGAAATTTGAAAAACATAAAATAAAGGGGGAAAACATTTCAAACGAAATGAAGCCTTGAAAATGTTTCTATTTTCTAACAAGATGGCACCCTGGCTTGGTCTAGGGTTGAGGTTAGCATTATGGAAATGACATCTTGTCATCTTTGCTGCATTCTGTTAGAAACAAGTCATAGGTCCCAGTCATACTCAAAGAGAAGGAATTACACATGAGTGGAATTTCTCTTTCCAGACTGCCAGGCAGCAAGGATCGTTGGGGGCCATCTTGGAGCCTACCCACCTGTTGGGGTCCGGCACGTCTGCTGGGGGGATACCGACCTGCGGGAGTCCCTGAGACCACAGACGTAGATGTCTCGTTCAACCTGAGGGAGAGAGCGCGCGGAAGTGAGACAGGATAGGAAAGTGGAGTCTGGAGGTCTGAGTGACTTGCAGTCAAACAGCAACTTTATTTATGTAGGTGACAGCTTTTATACCTTTTTCTTGTTACATTTACTTTAGCTCAGCAGAAAAGGGGGCAAACAGAAAAGGGAACAGAAATCACGCAAAAATAGTTATCAGGGGCCTGTGATAATAGCTTACAAAGCAGTTTAAGAGTTAATGTATGTTTTTCAAAGATACACAGTGCAAGCAAACAATGGTGCCCTTAAGGTGGCTTGTTAACTATGTTTTCCATCAGGAGGTAGAGCAAAGGCTCAGCTCCTGAGAAAATATGGGCAGGGGTCTTTGCCCCTCTCAGGCACCTCAATTGCAGCAAGCTTATTGCTTACACAGAGACTAAAGGGGATAGGAAGCAGTCAGCACAATGTCCTCATAAACCGCAGGCCCTTATTCTGCATTCTGCTTTTGCCTCAGTGGCTTAGCCATTTTTACCTCAACTCGACAGCCCTTGAGAGTGGGGGGAGAGCAGGAAGGTCCAGCAGCCAAGATGGGGCGAGTCACGCTGTCTCAAGCCCTTGGCGTGAACACTGCACCCACCTCATCAGGGAAACTCTTATTTGAAAGTAGGAAGGAGTGAGGATGGCAACTGTGTTGGACAGTGATTTAAGTAAGCCACATACTTGCTGCTGGGTACCATGAGTGCACAGATGCTAGATGTGCTTGCTGGGAGTTCTCCACTAAACAGAAGTATTCGTTTACCCACAAGTACATACTGAGTGCTTACTATGAACTGGGCACTGTTCTAGGACCTGGGGATAAAACAGTAAACAGAAAGAGAAGTGTTGATAATTGGCAGGAAGCAAAATGAAATAGAAGGGGGTTAGATTTTAGATGCAGTAACTAGGAAAGCCCTCAAAATGACCTCTGCATAAAGATCTAAAGGAAATGAGGGATGGAATGGTGCAACTGCCTAGAAACATGTATTCCAGGCAGAGGGAACAGCAAATGCAAACACCCTCAGGGAATGTGCCTGGAGTGTTGGAGACCAGAAAGGAAGATGTTTTCTTGTTGAATAATAAATTATCCCCCAAACTTAATGACCTAAAACAACAATAAACGTCTTTTAATTAGAGCGTTTACCAATCTCTAAAAGCAGAATGTTGCTATAGATTGACTCTATCTTCAACTAGAACATAAGCTATCAGCGGCCCAGCCTTTGTCTTACACACTGCTGTGTGCCACACTTCTAGGAAAGTGTCCAGCACATAGTAGGAACTCAGTCAGCATTTCTTGAATGAGTTAAGTGACGTAATGTATACAGGCCACATTCTGAGCTGCTGGGGAAGCCAGTAGTTGTATTTCTAGTAGGCACTCAGGGGATGCCAGTACTTATGGGTCATGACTGATACTGCCAGGAGCAAGTCTCAGTATTGTTCTTTGGAAGTAAGAATTGTAGATGTAGGGTCTCCATTGAAAGGCTTCTTCTGGATGTAGTCTTCCTTTTTCTTCCTAATTACTTTCATCATGTAATAAAGACACACTGATTGGCAATATAGATGGAAACAGATGGTTCCTAAATTTACTTTTTTTGAATGGCTAATTTAGTTGACTCTTGGTTATCTGGGGACAGATTAAATGGTATGCATTTAGCCATGGTATGAAATAACACTGGGCCTGGTACCATGAAGAAGTGAAATCACAGTAATGTAAGCAAACATGAATATGTTTATACTATCATGTAATTCTGTTGAGAATTATTTGGTACCTACTCCAGCTTGGGAATGTTCCGTGATCTCAGGTGTCCGAGTAATTTTTGGGAGCAGTGCCTGCTTTCTCTTCCAGTCTCTAATGAACAGAGGTTGGCATATGGGAATGGCAACATCTACACCTGGGCTGTGCTGTGATTGGTGGAGATTTCTAACATATTGGCTGCAAAGACTCAGGTACTTACAGTTCCAAGAACATTTGTATGCGTTTTTGGAAATGGTAAATATATTCTGAAATATAGGATGTGAACTTCAGCAGAATTCATTTCAAATGATCTTTTCGGTGGCTTTTTAATTGGTTTTACCCTAACTAGGACTCACGAGCTGTGAGACCTTTTCCTTCTGCTCTTTTTGACTGCTGCAAAATTATTTCTTGCCATAAACATGAATGCACATGCATACCTGTGGGCTAACCATGTGTGTAGGATGATCCCAGGTTTAGCATTTCAGCATGAGAAGGCACATGTGCTACATTATGAAAACTTACATGCTCTGAGTAAATCCTAATAAAAGACAATTATGAAGGTATATATAAAGTATATTTAATTTGTTGCTTTTTATTTGATATGGCATAGTCACAAAAATGCAATAGTCCAATATAGTATTAATTAGAAATAGATAATTTTACAAGTGCCTTAATGGAAGCAATCATGTTTAATGTAGGAAATTTATTTTTATAATTAATTAAAGGATAGATATTGTGTGGATATTTTTTTCCCCAGAGAACCACAGGAGGAAAACAAAGCTTCTTTCCTGAAGGAGAAAAACATTAGACTGAAGTGAGTTATGCACTTTTCCACAGCCTTACCTTTGACAAGATTTCTGTTTTAAAATCGTTTCCCTCATATCCTTATGTTGTTTGGTATGTTTCACTTTATGACCCCTTGTATTGGCAGAAAAGAGTCCCCAAAGATAAGACAAGGACGGTCATGTTGTAAAAGAAGCCCAAGGCTGAAGATTGAAGAAGGGAACTTGGAACTTCCAAGGGAACTGGAGACAATGGAAATCTCATCATGTAAGTTGGATGCTAAAACCTTGTTTTGAAGGGATGAAGATTTTATGTGTATTATTTGCTCATCACAGAAAAAATCTGAAACAAAATGGCTGGGTAGGACCTTTGTTAAAATATTATTTAGTCGAGGCCGGGAAGGGTCGCTCATGCCTACAGTCCCAGCACTTTGGGAGGCGAAGGTGGGTTGATCACGAAGTCCCAAGATTGAGAGCATCCTGGTCAACATGGTGAAACCCCGTGTGTACTAAAAATACAAAAATTAGCCGGGCATGCTGGTGCGCACCTGTAATCCCAGCAACTCAGGACGCTGAGGCAAGAGAATAGCTTGAACCCAGGAGGCAGAGGTGAGCCGAGATGGCGCCGTTCCACTGCAGCCTAAGAAAAAACAGTGACACTCCATCTCAAAAAAAAAAATTTCTTAAGTGGAAACAGTACCTCAGAAACAGATTTCATCCACTGATTAACCTCCTCCACGTGGTTACATTCTAGATTTAGATGTCAATAAGAGTGACAATCTCCATTTCTTTATATTCTTATTTTTGAGATGAAGTTTCGGTCTTTTTATTCAGGTGGAATGCAATGGCCGATCTCAGCTCATCACAACCTTCGCCTCCTGGGTTCAGGCAATTCTCCTGCCTCAGCCTCCTGAGTAGCTGGGACTACAGGCACGCGAAAGCATGCCCAGCTAATCTGTTTTGTATTTTTAGTAGAGACGAGGTTTCACCAAGTTGACCAGGATGGTCTGGATCTCTTGACCTCGTGATCCACCCGCCTCGGCCTCCCAAATGCTGCGATGACAGGCGTTAGCCACCAGACCCGGCCCGACAATCTCCATTTTTAACGCGGAGAATTATTTTCCTCTTGACAAGAGACGTTGACAGCGGTCTCTGTCTATAGGCCATGAAAGGAGTTTGATCTAAACGCTTTGCACCGAGATGATTTTGTTTTCTGCCTTAAAAATTAAGCGCCTAAACTCTGTTAGCGTATAGGGCTTGGCTTTCTTGGAGGGGTCCTCAGCGGCATGCCTGGACATCCTTCTCGGGCTTGGATTCGGCCCAGAAAGTTTCTGAGAGGCTGTCTCCACCTGCCCTGCCCCAGGAGAGGCCAGTTCCTGGTGTTGCCACCTCGGCTGTACGCTGGGCTTGCCGCTTTGTCTTTCTTCCCGCCTTTTCCGGACAAGAGTGCCAAGAAGCAGGAGTTCCTGGGCTTGGAGACCAAGGCAGGGCGACTTGGTGTGTGGCCCAGATCGAAGTGGCGCAGTGCCTCATGGAGGCCGGGAACGTTCTGCTGACAACCTCCCCGAGGGTCTCAGGCATGTTTGTGGGGTCCAGCGACTCATGCCACACCTCACCAGACTGAATCTCCAGCCCCATGGGACCGGATCGCTGCCCACGCCATCCGATCCGGAATCCAGTGGGAAGAGCAGTCCCGAGTGCCCACCTGAGGATCGGTCTGAAGCGCCCTCCTCCTCCTCCACCGGACCCGAACAGGAAGCGGGGCTCAAGGAGGTCCTGAGGTCAGGAGAGTCGGGCTCCCGCGCTGCTTGTGGCACGCAGCCTCCTTCCCCGGGGTCGCCTCGGGAACCGCCTCCAGCATTTTCCTCTGCGGCTGTGGCCGGAGACAAGAGCGCCGGCATTGCGGCTGGCCAGCCGGGCACGCCAATGCACCTGCGCGAGCGGCGCGTCACAGGCCCGAGTGGCGCGTCACAGGCGCGAGGGCTGAGCCGGGGCTGGCGTCACAGTTACTGCCCCCGTGGCCCGGGAAACGGTTTCGGAGGCTTCGCAAAGCAGGTGCCCACTGCGATCGTCGCCGCGGTCCTACGATTTCAGGAGCCGGGCAGGGCGGAACCAGGCTTAGAAACGCTCCGGCTTAGCTTCAGGGATGCCCAGGGTGATCCCCAGGGAACCCCACGATGCTTCAGGCCTGCTCAGACGGTGTGGGAGTGCGTCTCCTTGAAAGCTGTCTCTGCTGGGATTTCCACATACGGCCAGCCTGTGTGTCGCGGGGCTGGTCTCTCCCCGAGGGTCTTCCCGGCAGAGGGCAGAACCGCGGAAGCTGTGGGATGTCTCTGTGTGCTCTGTGAGTGTCTGTGTGTGTGTGTGTCAGAGAGAAAGTGTATGTGTATATGTTTCTGTGTGTGTGCGTGTGCGTTTGTGCCAGCGCTGTATCCTGGACACGAGTGTGGCCATTGCACTCCAGCTCTGTTTCTCTGCAGTCCACCTACCTTCTGGTGCGCTTCTGTCCTTGGCTCAGCTCAGGGGCTGTGGGGCCCATCCTTCTTTGCTTTGCTCCTGGATTCTAAAGCCTCAGTGTAGTGGAGGTCTGGCTCCCGCCCGCAGGTGTCCTAATCACCTTCCCATCCCATGAAAGTATATATAAAGTATATTTAATGTGTTACTTTTTCTCTTCTGTGGCATACACTGTCACAGAATCCAGTGATCCAAGACAGTATTAATCAGAAATAAATTTTTCAAGCGACTAACTGAAGCATTCCTGTTTAACACAGAACATTTGTTTTTATCATTAATTCACCTTAGATAAGCCAGACGCGGTGACTCACGTCTCTAATCCCAGCACTTCCGGAGGCCGAGGCGGGCGGACCACGAGGTCAAGAGATAGAGACCATCCTGGCCGACATGGTGAAACCCTGTCTCTGCTAAAATGACAAAACGTAGTTGGGCGTGGTGGGGTTTGCCTGTAGTCCCAGCTACTCCGGAGGCTGAGGCAGGAGAATTGCCTGAACCTGGGAGGCAGAGGTTGCAGTGAGCCGAGATCATGACACTGCACTCGAGCCTGGCGTCAGGTGACAGAGGTGACTCTGTTTCATAAAAGAAAAAAAAAAAAAAATTAACGTTAGGTATTGTGTGGATTTCTTTTTTCCCCCGAGAACCAGAGGAGGAAAACAAAGTTTCATTCCTGATAGCAAAAAACACACGGTTGTAATGAGTTAAGAACTTATCCATAGACTTACCTTTGAGACGTCTTCGGTTTTAAAATCGTTTCCCTCATATCCTTATGTTGTTTTGGTATGTTTCACTTTATTACCCCTTGCATGGCAGGAAAGAGTCCCCAGCGACAGAAGACAAGGACGGTCCGTGGTGGAAAAGAAGCCCAAAGCTGAAGACTGAAGAAGCGAACTTGCAACTTCCAAGGGAACTGGAGACAATGGAAATCTCATCATGTAAGTTGTATGCTACAACCTTGTTTTGAGGGGATGAAGATTCCTCGTGTATTATTTGCTCATCACAGAAAAAAACCTAAAACAAAATGGCAGGGTAGGACCTTTGTTAAAATATTATTTGGTCGAGGCCGGGCACGGTGGCTCATGCCTACTGTCCCAGCACTTTGGGAGGCGAAGGTGGGTCGATCACAAAGTCCGGAGATTGAGACCATCCTGGTCAACATGGTGAAACCCCGTGTGTACTAAAAATACAAAAATTAGCCGGGCATGCTGGCGCGCACCTGTACTCCCAGCTTCTCAGGAGGCTGAGGGAAGAGAATTGTTTGAACCTAGGCATTGGAAGTTGTGGTGAGCTGATATTGCATTGTTGCACTGCAGCCTGGGCCAAAAGAGCGAAACTCCATCTCAAAAAAAAAAATTATTTAGTGGAAACAGTTTCTCAGAAACAGATTTCGTCTACTGATTAAGCTCTTACATATGGTTACACTCTAGATTTAATAAGAGTGACAATCTTCATTTTTTAAATTTTTTTTTTTTTTTTTTTGAGACAGAGTTTCGGTCTTGTTATTCAGGCTGGAGTGCAGTGACTGATCTCAACTCACCGCAATTTCCGCCTCCTGGGTTCAGGCAATTCTCTTGCCTCAGCCTCCTGAGTAACTGGGATTACAATCACACGAAACCATGCCCAGCGAATTTGTTTTGTATTTTTGTAGAGATGGGGTTTCACCATGATGACCAGAATGGTCTGGATCTCTTGACCTCGTGATCCAGCCCCCTTGGCTTCCCAAATGCTGGGATTGCAGGCGTGAGCCACGAGACAATCTCCATTTTTAACACAGAGAATTATTTCTTTCTTGACAAGAGAAGTTGACAGCGGTCTCTGTCTATAGGCCATAAAAGGAATTTGATCTAAAGACTTTGTACTGAGATGATTATGTTTTCTGTCTACAAAATAAAGTGACTCAACTCTGTCAGCATAGCATGCTTGGGTTTTTTGGAGGGGTCCTCAGCGGCTTGCCTGGATATGGTTCTCAGGCTTGGATTCGCTCCAGAAAGCTTCTGAGTCGCTCTCTCCACCTGACCTGTCCCCAGGAGAAGCCAGTTCCTGGTTTTGCCACCTCTGCTGTATGCTGGGCTTGCCGCTTTGTCTTTCTTCCTGCCTTTTCTAGACAAGAGTGCTGAGAAGCAGGAGTTCCTTGGCTTGGAGACCAAGGCAGGGCTACCTGGTGTGTGGCCCAGTGATTGAAGTGGTGCAGTGAATTCATGGAGGCCGGGAACGTTCTGCTGAAAACCTCCCCGAGGGTCTCAGTATGTTTGTGGGGTCCAGCGACTCGTGCCACACCTCACCAGACTGAATCTCCAGCCCCAGTGGACCGGATTCCTGCCTACACTGTCCGATCCCGAATCCAATGGGAAGAGCAGTCCCAAGTGCCCACCTTATGGTCGGTCTGAAGCGCCCTTCTCCTCCACTGGATCCGAACAGGATGGTCGGCTCAAAGAGGTCCTGAGGTCAGGACTGTCGGGCTTCTGCGCTGCTCGTGCCAGGCAGCGTCCTTCCCCGGGGCCACCTCAGGTACTGCTTCCAGCATTTTCCTCTGCGGCTGGCGACAAGAGCGCCGGCATTGGGGCTGGCCAGCTGGGCACGCCAATGCGCTTGCGCCATTGGTGCATCACAACCACTAGTGGGGGCTGGGCTTTTGTCACAGTGACTGTCCCGGTAGCCTGGGGAAGGGTGTCGGCATCTTGGCAACCAGGCGCCCTCTGTGGCGGTGAGTTGGGCGACGGGGGCCCTTCTCCCGCGGATCATCACCAAGGTCCCGCGATTTCAAGAGTCGGACAAGGCGGAACCAGGCTGAGAAAAGGTTCATCGGAGCTCGAAGATTGCACCCCTTATTTCCTTAGGATTCCCCTGTTGCATTAGGCCTCCCTAGGCGGTGAGGGGGTGCATCTAATTTATTGTGGTCTTCTGTGGGGTGTATAAATATTTGCCTGCCTTTTTTTCTGGGGCTGCTCTCTCTCTAGACTTGCCTCCTGATAACAGAGCCTCTCAGCCTCAGGAGCTTCTTGGCTCTGTGTTTCTGTCGCGTGTTTGGTGTCTTCGTGTGTGTGGTGTTCTGTGTCTGTGTGTTTGAGTTTGTGTGTGTGTGTGTGGTGTCTGGTCAAATGGCTGTGGCTCATGTACTGGAGGTCTTTTTCTCTCATGTCTGCCTACCTTATGGGGCGCCTTACTCTGTTGATGCGCTTGGGCTGCAGGGCTGTGTGGTCTTGTTTTGCTTGTTCCTATAGCCTCGGTGAAGTCAAGGTCTGGCTCAGTCCTTCAGGCGTCCAAAGCATATTTCCATCTTGAGAGGTCCGTTTTTAGAGAGAAGACGAGCACACCACCCTCTGGAACAGACAAGTCCAGGGGCCCATTTTCCTGTGGCACAGCCAAGGCCAGACTCTAGCCATGGTGTCCTCCCCACCCCTCGAGCCCACTTCTAATTTCGTCACCAGAGGAGCAGGTTGTTCAGGAGGTGATCGGGCACTCCTTCATCCGTCATCCTCTTCGGGGAAAGGGGATGCAGAAATAGGGTTAGATGGGGGTGAGGATACAATCTGGTTAGGTGTGGAGCGAGTCCGGCATCTTCACCTGCAGGAGATGTTCAGACACATGTCAGAGATGGTGCTTCTCCCCTTCTTCACTACACAGCCTGTCCACACCATGGCCCATTGCTGGCAAAAGAAGACACCAACGTTAGGAGAATATTTGGATAGCAAACTGGTGTTTCTGGCCAGCTCTCAGATTCGGCCCTCATTCCTGGAGCCACGTGGGAGTATGGATGGATTGATCGTGATCCTGCCTGGGCTGTGGCCTCTTATTTTCCCTCCCTCTTTTCCTGCCTTCCATGTTTTTCCGTGGTCTGACTCAATGTCTTCCACAGCAAACGTTTTCCAATTCGTCCAGGAACACCGTGGGTATCCATGTCATGAGTGTTTCCTTCTAAACACTCATTTCTTAACAACTGGGTAGCTGTGATGATGACTGCAGGCCCTGCCAATAGTTTGACTGCAGCTGTATCAGAGTCTCAATTACAACCACTCAGCTATAGCAGCTCCCATATTCCTGACCCTCAGAAAGTCTTTGAGATACTAAATGTTTGTTGTTTTAAGCTTCTGAATGTTTGGTAATTAGCTATGCAGCGGTAGATAACTTCGATGCTGTGTTAAAATGCTGCAATTCAAATTTCTGAATTTTTTTTTCTTTTTTTGAGACGGAGTTTCACTCTTGTTGCCCAGGCTGGAGTGCAATGGCATGATCTCCGCTCGCTGCAATCTCCGCCTCTGCTCTCCTCCCTCAGCCTTCTGAGTAGCTGGGAATACAAACATGTGCCACCATGCTCCACTAGTTTAGTATTTTTAGAAGCGTTCAGGTTTCTCCATGTTGGTCAGGCTGGTCTCAAACTGCCGACCTCAGGTAATCTGCCTGCCTTGGCCTTCCAGTGTGCTGGGGTTACAGGCGTGAGCCACTGAGCCAGGCCACGTTTCTGAATTCTCTAAATAAAGTTCCTAAACTTGTGAGATTATTTTGTCAGATAAGAGGAGTTATTACCAGTTTCCTCTTCTTCCTTGTGATGGAAAAATTAAAAGGCCTATGGCTCTGCTAGACTTTAAATTGAAAAATGAAGTCAAGGGTCTTTCTTTCATTTGGTTTAATGTAAGTGGTTTATATGACAACAGTTTGAAGTGATTGTAGTAATTAATTGAAAATCACCATTTAGTCCAGGTGTGGTGCCTCACGCCTGTAATTCCAACACTTTGGAAAATGGAGGTGGGAGGATCACCGTATGTCAGGAGTTGAAGACAAACCCAGCCAAAATGTTGGAACAGGAAGTCGGCTCAAGGAGGCACTGAGATGAGGATTGTCAGGGTCCTGCGCTGCTTGTCACACGCAGCCTCCTTCCCTCGCCACCTCTGGTACTACCTCCACCATTTTCCTGCGTGGCTGCAGCCAGAAAAGACGGATATTGTGGTTCGCCAACTGGGCACGCGGATGCGCATGCGCATGCGCCAGGCGCGCGTCACCAGGCGCAGGCGCAGAGCTCAGGCTCCGGTCACAGTGACCGCCCCCATTGCCGGGCAACGGGTGTCAGCGGCTTGGCGGTGCAGGAACCCTCTGTGGCAATGCTTCAGCGTTGGGCTGTGGCTCCCACTCGCCGTGGAATCGTCGCCTGTTGCGATCCTAGGAGTCAGGCAGGGCCCATCCAAGCCGGAGAAATGTCAAGCGGAGATTTAAGGTTGCACCGCGTGAACCCTAAGGATCCCCACGATGCCTCAGGCCTGCCTAGGTGATGTGGAGGTGCGTCTCCTTGAAAGCGTCTCCTTCCCCCTGGGATTTCGAGGTACCGCCTGTCTGTGTGCCGCAGGGCTGCTCTCACTCCGAGGGTCTTCCTGGCAGAGAGCAGAACCACACAGCCTCAGGAGCTTTCTAGCTGTGTCTGTGAGTGTTGGATTTCTCCGTGTGTGTGTGTGTGTGTGTGTGTGTGTGTGTGTGTGTGTCGTGTGGTGAAACGAATATGGCCAGTGTTTGGGTAAGACCTCAATAGCTCATGTGACAAAAGCAAAAATAGACATTATATGAAGCTGAAAAGGTTCTGCACAGCAAAGAAAACAATCAGTAGAGTGAAGATCACAACCTACAGTATGGGTAAAGATATTTGTACACTAGCCATTCAATAAGGGATTAATAAGCAAAATATACAAGGAATGTAAACAATAGCAAAAACATCTGATTTTAAGATGGGCAAGGGATTTGAGAAGACATTTCTCAAAAGAAACATGCAATGGCCAATGGGTAGATGAAAAAACACTCAGCATCCCTAATCATCAGGGAAATGCAAATCAAAATCACAATGAGATACTGTCTCACCTCAGTTATAATGTCTACTATCAAAAGAAAAAAGCTAACAAGTATTGGTGAGGATGTGAAGAAATCCTTATACACGGTTGGTGGAAATGTAAATTAGTAAAGCTATTATAGAAAACTGGAGATTTCTCAAAAAAAAAAAAAAATAGAACTACTATATGATCCAGCAATCTCATCTCACTGCTAGATATACATCCAAAGGTGAAAAAGGGAAATCATATATCATAGAGATATTTTCACTCAAGAGGGTTAACTGACTCAGAGTTCTGCATGGCTGGTAAGGTCAGGAAACTTAAATCATGATGGAAGGTGAAGGGGAAGGCATCTTGTGGCAGTAGAGAGAGAAAGAGAGAGAGCAGGGAAAACTACCGCTTTTAAACCACCAGGTCTCATGAGAACTCTCTCACTATCATGAGAACAGCATGTGGAAAACCACCCCCATGATCCAGTCATGGCTCAAGCCATCCTTCCACCTCAGCCTTCAGAGTAGTTGGGGCCAAGGCTGCAGGCACATGCCACCATGCCAGGCTTAATTTTGTATTTTATATAGAGATAGGGTTTCACCATGTTGCCCAGGCTGGTCTTCAACTCCTGAGCTTAAGCAATCCCACCATGGCCTCCCAGAGGGCTGGGACTCCAGATGTGAGTCACCACACCTGACCAGATTAGTAGTTTCTTCGCTACGATACCAAAGACATAAGCAAGAAAAGAAAAAAATAGATTAATTTGACTATATCAAAATTAATAGGGTTTTTAAATTTTTTATTTTATTTTTTTGCTTCAAAGGGCACTATCAAGAAAGTGAAAGGACAATCTACAAAATGGAAGAAAATGTTTACAAATAGGGTATCTGATAAGGTCCTTGTATTCAGAATATACAAAGACCTCTTACAGCTCAACAATAAAAAGGCAATTCAGTTTAAAATTGGAAGTGGATTGGAATAGTCATTTTATCAAAGAAGGTATACAATGGCCAATACACACCAGAAAGGATGCGCAACATCATCGGTCATCAGGGAAATGCAAATAAAACCACTTTACAAGTAGTACCACCTCACACCCACCAGCTTCTGTATCCACTTGCCAGTCTATAACCTATGTTGAGTAACTGGCTGCCTGGTCAATACAGCTCACCTCAGAGCTGTCCTTGAGCATAGGGTTTATACACAGTGATAGGATATTCCACATCCTAGAGACCTATGACATAGGCAGAGTTTTTCTTTTCTTAACTACTTTAAGACATTGGGTGGCCGGGCACAGTGGCTCACGCGTATAATCCCAGCACTATGGGAGACAGAGGTGCGTGGATCACAAGGTCAGGAGTTTGAGACCTTCCTCACCAACATGGAGAAATCCCGTCTCTACTAAAAATACAAAAATTAGCTGGGTATAGTGGCACACACCTGTAAGCCCAGCTACTCAGGAAGCTGATACAGGTGAATTACTTGAACCTAGGAGGCAGAGGGGTTACAGTGAGCTGAGATCACCCCACTGCACTCCAGCCTGGGCAACAGAGTGAGACTCTGTCTCAATAAATAGATAAATAAAAAGACAATGGGCTGTAGCTCAGATTACACAAGTATCTCAATCTACAGGGTATCAATGAGGCAATAGGGAAGAGAAGAAAGGCTTTAATTTTTATATACTGCTTCACCTTCCACTTCACTCTGTTGGAGTGTGGTGGGCAAGCCCTCTCCCTCACTCTGCCATCCTGTTTCTTGTTGCTATTTTCCATCATTCGGGTATGGGTATCTGAGGTCTCTCTTTAACAATGGTAGACAATTTCCTTGATATTCTTAATTGCTTATTTTTCCATTGACTTATAAATGAGAAAAATATACTAAAAATGTGAGGCTATCAACAAATTCTGCTGGATATTGATTATAATCACAGTGACTAAGTTGTTAGGCATACATTTTAAAATCCAGAGTTACGGTGTGTTTTTCTTCCTGCATGCTGCCTATCTGAAGTAAATTTCAGTCTCCACTGCCTGCTTCTACTGTAATGGCCTCATGTCATTTCTCTTCCCCAGTTTCCTTACACCCTCCGGTATATTTTATAAAATAATAACATTTACTACATACTGCTGTAAATTTCACATGTATTTTGACAAATGCATGTAACTTCTAAAACAAAGAATTATCTCCCTTTAACATCTCAGAAAATTGAATTAAGAAAAGGTAGTAATTGGCCCACAAAAATTCTGGACACTTAGACAGTACACAAAGAGAAATTATCAAATCATGATGCATATACAATGGGGTGCTGGAAAGTTAAGAATGATGATGGAAAAATTAGGCTTATAAAACCATTAGCATAAAGCATCATTCTCAAACCAGTCAAACATGGAAAGATAGTCTTAAAATTGTTAACAATGGTTGCCTCTGGAAATAGACCATATGTAAGCTTCTTTCTGATGAAAATGGTGAATACAGGAACACCAGTGGCACACCTGAGGACTTGTAAGGACATAACTGACAGTATGGGTGCAGTGGCTCAAGCCTGTAATCCCAGCATTTTCAGAGGCCAAGGCAGGCAGATCACCTGAGGTCAGGAGGACCAGCCTGGCCAACATGGTGAAACCTGGTCTCTACTAAAAATTAGCTGGGCAAGGTGGCACGTGTTTGCATTCCCACCTATTTGGGAGGCTGAGGCAGGAGAATCGCTCAAACCCAGGAGATGGAGGTTGCAGTGAGCCAAGATCATGCCACTGCACTACAGCCTGGGTGACAGAGTGAGACTCCATCTCAAAAAAGAAAAAAAGACAGAAGAGAACTGACAGAAGCAAACATCTTTTAAATGTTCTTTATTTTTTTACATTATGAACTAGTTTAAATATACAAAAAGATACAGAGAGTAACAACTGACTCATATACTCACAACCAGCTTTATCAAATTATAAGAATTGGCTATACAGTATTTGCTTATTTTTTAAAGAAAGAAATAAAGATATTTTCATTTGCATCCTTTCCCCAATCTCACTTGTCTTTCTCCCTGTGGGTCACCATGGTTCTGAATCTGAGGATTATTTTATGGATTCTTTTTATATACTATTTAGCCATCAAAAATATACATAACACTAATTAGCATGTTTTCAAATTGCACATGGTATACTATGTTTACAAAATCCTCTGTAGTTCAACTTCATTAAGGCTATTTTTGAGATTTACCCATGTTGACAGAAATATCTCTAGTTATTCATTTTAATTTGTATTCTATCTTGTGTTTAGCCTACTGGTTAGATTGCTTTTAACTTTTCATTCTCACAATGCTGCAATGGACCATCATATAGATCTCCTTGAAACACAAGGAGAGACTATGTAGAGGTTTAAACATGGAATTGCTGGGTCAAAGATTACTCACATCTTCCACTTTACTAGACATTACCAAATTATGCTAAATACAACTACTTCTAGTAGCACCGTATGAGTGTTCCTAGTGCTCCACATCTTTCCAGTAATTGGCACTCTAATGCTTTTGCCAATGTGATGATTTTGAAATAGTTCACTGTGATTTTATTTTGCATTTCCCTTACTATTAGTGAGGTATTTATTATCCCAATACCCCGAAATCAAATCTTTCTCTAATGGTTTGAGCCATCATCATTTGCAGTTTCTACAAAGAGATTCGATAATTTTCTTGCTGTTCTTAATAATTTATACCTCACAGAAAAATTTCAGAACTTGTGAAGCTAAAGGGGAAAAAATACAATGAAACGTTTCGGCTGGAATTGCAGTGAATTTGTTAATTAGGAAGAATTGACAACTTTATTATCTTCAGTCTCTGCAGTCTAGGCCATATAATGCTCCTTATTTTCCTGTTGTTCTTCAGTTTTCTGGGTTTAGAGAATCTTTAAATATTTAAGTATTAATTTAACTGTCTCAGCCTCTGGAATTTAACTCCATGGGAATGTGGCCTTTGTATTGCTCACTGTCATTTCCTCATACCTAAAACAGCGTCTGACAAATAGTAATTACTCGATATTAACAGAATGAATGCCTATATTAATATATGTATATCTGTCTCTTGTTTTCTTCCCTTAATCCCCTTTTGATTTCAATTTTGCAATCACTGGATTAAAAAAATTTTTTAACTTTACATTATTTTCTATAGAACACTTTACATGCTTTAAAATTATCTGAATTTACCCATACAATAACCTGGGTGTGGTGCCTTTTTTTTTTTTTTTTTGAAACAGAGTCTTTGTCACCCAGACTGGGGTGCAGTGGCACGATCTCAGCTCACTACATCCTCCACCTCCTGGGTTCAAGCAATTCTCCTGCCTCAGCCTCCTGAGTAGCTGGGATTACAGGCATGCGCCACCGTGCCCAGCTAATTTTTTGTATTTTTAGTAGAGATAGGGTTTCACCATGTTAGCCAGGCTGGTCTCGAACTCCTGACCTTGTGATCTGCCCACCTTGGTCTTCCAAAGTGCTGGGATTACAGGCGTGAGCCACCGTGCCTGGCCAGGATGTGGTGCCTTTTTAAAGGGACCACATGAATTTCTATGTTTATTGATTTTTTTAGTGAATTGTGACCATTTCTATTCCTTCCTTAATCTAAATATAGGTTCTGCATTCTTCCCAGTGAATTCTATTTTTCTTATTTTAATTGGCTTATCCAATTCATTATCTTTAGAAACTTTCTAAAACTGGCTATTAGTGTTATAGTTCCACTACCTGAGTTTATATCAACTACTCAGCTACAGAACAGAGACTGACATTTATGTTCTAAAATTTTCAGATTTTCCAAATTCTAAATTGGTGTTTTGCAGGAATGCTCTACTTTGTCCAATAAGGAATCTTGTTCTGGTTGTGAGGAGTAAATGAGTTAATATTTGTAGAGTATGTAAGACAGTGCCTGATGTGCAGTGGGTACTCAATATATGCTAGCTATTACCATTTATTGAATATCTGCTATATTTGACAGACTATCTGAAGTACTTTACATGCAAATTTCTCATTTAATATGCATCAATCTACAAGACACTATTTCACTTAATACTTACATTTCTACTATACAGTATCCTTTATTATTCCTATTTTAAGAATTAAAGAAAACCCTGAGGTTTAGATAAGCAAATTGCTTATAGCCACACAATGCCATAGTAGTGGTAGAGCTGCGATTTTCCAGAATCTAAGCTCTTAGTCCTGGGAAGTACCTAGTGCCCAAAGAAGAAGATTGGAATAAAATAAGGCTGAATGGTGTGTCAGAACCAGGTAACAAAAAGCCTCACAATTTTAAAGGCTGTGAATGTTAGTCTAAGAACAGTAACAACAACAAAAGATGAAGTTTTCACTGGAGATAGTAAATGTGTTTTCTTGTCCTTTAAAAAGAACAATTTGAGGTTGGGCATAGTGGCTCGTGCCTGTAATCCCAGCACTTTGGGAGGCCAAGGCAGACAGATTGCTTGAGATCAGGAGTTTGAAGCAGGGCGCGGTGGCTCATGCCTGTAATCCTAGCACTTTGGGAGGCTGAGGCAGGCAGATCATGAGGTCAGGGGTTTGAGACCAGCCTGACCAACATGGTGAAACCCCATCTCTACTTAAAAATACAGAAATTAGCCAGGCGTGGTGGCACCCACCTATAATCCCAGCTACTTGGGAGGCTGAGGCAGGAGAATCACTTGAACCCAGGAGGTGGAGGTTGTGGTGAGCCAAGAGCATGCCGTTGCACTCCAGCCTGGGCGACAGAACAGGACTCTGTCTCTAAAAAAAAAAAGAGAGGGAGAGAGATCAGGAGTTTGAGACCAGACTGAGACCAACATGGCAAAACCCCATCTCCACTAAAAAATACAAAAATTATCCAGGCATGGTGGTGCATGTCTGTAGTCCCAGCTACTCGAACCCTGGAGGCAGAGGCTGGGAGGCGGAAGCTGGAGTGAACTGAGATCATGTCACTGCACTCCAGCCTGGGCAACAAAGCAAGACATTGTCTTAAAAAGAAAAAAAAAATCAGTCTGAGTGCGTTGTAGGAAATGGATTGAAAGGTAGAAAAAATAAATACAGGAAGACCTGTTTGAAAGCTGTATTAGTAATCAAAGTGAGATGAATCAGACCAAGGTAACAATATTAAAGATTAAAAAAAAGAGTGTATAAGTTCTAGAAATATTTAGGACACAGGATCTATAGGACTTGGTGATTGACTGGGTTGGGTGGTGACAGTGACTCCCCAATGTGAATTCTCTGATGATGAGCAAGGTGTGCATGCTGCCTGAAGGTTTTTTTACATTCCTTACATTCATAGGGTCTCTCTCCGGTATGAATTCTCTGATGTTGGGCAAGGGATCCACAGTAACTAAAAGCCTTTCCACAAACAGTACATTCATAAGGTTTCTCTCCAGTATGAACTCGCTGATGTTGAGTAAGGGATGAGTCATTGCTAAAAGCCTTCCCACATTCTATACATTCGTAGGGTTTCTCTCCAGTATGAACTCTTTGATGCTGAGCAAGGTAGGCAATCTGGCTGAATGCTTTCCTACATTCCTGACACTTATAAGGTTTTTCTCCAGTATGAATTCTCTGATGTTGAGCAAGGTGTGAATTCTGGCTGAAGGCCTTCCCACATTCCTTACATTCATAGGGTCTCTCTCCGGTATGTATTCTCTGATGTACAGTAAGGTATGCACGAAGGCTAAATGCTTTCCCACACACATTACATTCATAGGGTTTCTCTCCAGTATGAACTCTCTGGTGTTGAGCAATGGATGATCTGTTGCTAAATGCTTTCCCACATTCAATACATTCATAGGGTTTCTCTCCTGTATGAACTCTCTGATGTTGAGCAAGGTAGGCAAACTGGCTGAAGGCTTTTCTACATACCTTACATTCATAAGGTTTTTCTCCAGTATGAACTCTCAGATGTTGAACCAGATGTGCATTCTGACTGAAGGCTTTCCTACATTCCTTACATTCATAGGGTTTTTCTCCAGTGTGAATCCTCTGATGTTGAACAAGGTTTGATCTCTGGCTAAAGGCTTTTCCACACTCTATACATTTATAGGGTTTCTCTCCAGTATGAATTCTTTGATGAAGAGTAAGGGATGAACTCTGGCTGAAGACTTTTTCACAGTCTTTACATTTCAAAAGTTTCTTCTCTGCACAGACAGTCTTGGGCTTAATACCCATTAAATTTGTTTTAAAGTTTCTCTTAAGTGTATCATGTTTATGTACTTTCTCGGCTTTGGGGATTATCTTTTGTGCACAAAGCAGTGGGTTCTGATGAAAACTTCCCCAAGATTTATATTCTTGTTCTCTTTCATTAACAAGGGCTTCTTCATGAGTGATTATCTCTTCCTTGAAACATGCCTTCTGATTCCCTGGTTGCCTCTCAAAATAGCCCTTACATTTCCACTCTTCTCTCAAACTGGAGTACTCAAGGTTATACCTTGTGAGTGTTTCTATTATCTGCTGGGATTGATGTTCTTCATAAAATTCCTGCTTTGGGGTTAATTCTTCAGTCTCACATAGAGGCGCCCAGCCTGAAAAGTAATAAGAAGAAAAAATGTCTCCTCTATTGAGTATCAGAAAGTACATTTAAGAAAGTACATCAGTAAAGTAAAATGTGAATTTAATAGCAAGTAAAACCCACAAGAATATTGGCTTTTGCAGTTCTGAAGTGTACAAGAAGAGAAACTGAAAACAGGTCATACAGAAACTGAAGGAGGAAAGATTAGAATTATAAAAGAAAAATCAGTAAATCTCAGGGCAGGAAGAAATTAGAGATGTGGTCAGAGTGGGTTACAATGTTATGCCTGTATTAGGAAAACAGACACTGAAATAATCTCCATTCTTAATAGCTGCTTCATTCAAGAACATTCACTGAACAAATATTTACCTTGTGCCAAATTCTGTTCTGATGCTTTTAATATCAAAAAACAAAGATCCTTAACCTTCAGGGATGTTATTTTCTTAAAAGAGACAGAAAATAAGTGATAGATAAGTAAATGTTATTTTATGTTAGAAGATACTAAGTGCACCAGATAAAGAAAATCAGGGTAGGGATGTCAGGAGTACTGATGAAATTAGAGCTAGGGATCATTCGTAAGTTCACATTTAAGCTAAGATTTGAAGAAAGTGAAGAAGTCAGTCATTCAAGTTTCTGGGGAAAGAGCATTCAGGGAAGAAGCAGCAGCTGGTTTAATGGCTTCAAAAGTAGAAGCATGTCTACTACGTTTAGGGAATAATAAGAAGGGCATGTGGCTATAGAGTGAGTAGCAGGATATAAAGTCAGGAAGTGAAAGGTAATGACATTAACCTTCACAGGCCTTCTAAGGAATTTGTCTTTTACTCTGAGACGAGTAGTGTATCAGTTTCTTTTCACATTGTTATAAAGACACTACCTGAGACTGGGTATTTATAAACAAGAGGTTTTGTTTATAAAACCTCACAGTTCTGCATGGCTGGGAAGGCCTCAGGAAACTTACAATCATGGCAGAAGGTGAAGGGGAAGCAGGCATCTTCTTTATAAGGTGGCTGGAAAGAAGGAAAGAGAGAAGGAGGGAACAAGTGAGGGAAGGAGGAAGGGAGAGAAAGAGAGAGAGAGCGAGAGGAAGCAGGGAAAACTGCCACTTTTAAAGCATCAAGTCTTGTGAGAACTCCCTCACTATCATGAGAACAGCATGGGGAAAACTGCCCCCATGTTCCAATCACCTCCCACCAGGTCCCTTCCTCAACACATGGGGATTACACTTCAAGATGAGATTTGGATGAGGACACAGAGCCAAACCATATCAGATGGTAATGTAGTTCCATCCAGATCTCATCTTGAAATGTAATCTCCAGGGGAGGACTCAAGATGGCGCTGTGAGAACAACCCAGGATTGGAGCTCTTCTTGTTGAATCTGCAAACGGTGAGTCAAAGCGGCATTTCCAGACTGATCTTTGTTGCCCACAGAACGGGGAAACTCCCAAGTATAAAAAAGACACGGGACGCCAGGCAGTAGGTCTGCCTGGCGAAGCCGGCAGCCGGGGCGGCGGCGGCCGGCCCTACCCAGCAATCCCCACAGGGCGCGCTTGTCCGGGTGCCCTGTTGAACCGGCAACCTGAGACTTGAGAGGGCTGGACTTGAGACTGAACGAGACTTGGACAATAGGCCAGCCCAGGGGATTGCAGGGATTGGGATACCCAGTGGGACGAACAAAACCGCGATTTCAAACTATCCCGAGCAGACGGTCCGAGACGCTCTGTGGGGGAGGGGCGTCCACCACTACCGAGGCAACCCGCCCCAACTGAGATACACGCCCACTGCTGACGTAGCCAGCTGTTGCCGAGGCAACCCGCCCCAACTGAGATACACGCCCACTGCTGACGCAGCCAGCCGTTGCCGAGGCAACCCGCCCCAACTGAGATACATGCCCACTGCTGACGCAGCCAGCCGTTGCCGAGGCAACCTGTCCCTACTGAGATACACGCCCACTGCTGACGCAGCCTGCCGTTGCTGAGGCAACATGCTACAACGAAGAGACTCCGCCGCAGGGCGTGGAGGAGACCACAGCAGAGCCAGCAGGAACAGCGCGAATCACACAACAGCAGGGCGGAGCCTCGGCAGCCAAACAGTGGCTAGTCTGCCTTCTAGCTGGGCAGGACACCTGATCGGACATCCAAAAATAAAGCCCAAACCCCTCAACACAGAGCATTTGAGAAAAAAAAAAAAAAAAAAAAAGGGTTTTTTAATGAGCTCTGTTGCAGCAGAATCAAACATAGCAGCCTAACAGCCCTGAATGAACAACAGAGTGCACAGCTCAGCAATTAAACCCCTATAAAGTACAAACTGTCTCCTCAAGCAGCTCCCTGACCCCTCTATATCCAAAAGACTGACATTAGGCAGGCATCATCCTGGGACAAAGAGAGCAGAAAAAGAAACTGGTAGCATCCCTCGCTGTGCCACAGCTACTAGAGGTGCACTCCAGACAAGCAGGGTCTGGAGCAGACCTCAGCAGTCGTACAGCGAAGGGTCTAGACTGGTAGAAGGAAAACCAAGCAACAGAAATACTTCATCATCAACATTCTGGGTGTCCACTCAGAGACCCAAAACGAAAAGTCAGCAACTACACAGACGACCAGCGGACAAATCCACAAAGATGGGAAGAAACCAGCGCAAAAAGGAGGAAAACACCCAAAACCAGAACACCTCGCCTCCTAGAAAGGACCAAAACTCCTCACCAGCAAGGGAGCAAAGCTGGACGGAGAATGACTGTGACGAAATGACGGAATTAGACTTCAGAAGATGGATAATGAGAAACTTTTGTGAGCTAAAAGATCATGTATTAAATCAATGCAAAGAAACTAAGAACCTTGAAAAAAGATTTGAAAAAAGATTCGAGGAAATGATAACAAGAATGGATACCTTAGAGAGGAATATGAATGAATTAAAGGAGCTGAAAAACACAATACGAGAACTTCGCGAAGCAAACACAAGTTTCAATAGCCGAATGGACCAAGCAGAAGAAAGAATATCTGAAGTCGAAGACCAACTCAATGAAATAAAACGAGAAACCAAGATCAGAGAAAAAAGCGCAAAAAGGAATGAACAAAGTCTCCAAGAAATGTGGGACTATGTGAAAAGACCTAACCTACGTTTGATAGGTGTACCAGAAGGGGACGAAGAGAATGAATCCAAGCTGGAAAATACTCTTCAGGACATCATCCAGGAAAATTTCCCCCACCTAGCAAGACAAGCCAACACTCAATTGCAGGAAATATAGAGAACACCACAAAGATATTCCGCAAGAAGAGCAACCCCAAGGCACATAATCGTCAGATTCAACAGGGTTGAAATAAAGGAGAGAATACTAAGGGCAGCCAGAGAGAAAGGTCGGGTCACCCACAAAGGGAAGCCCATCAGACTCACAGCAGATCTCTCGGCAGAAACACTACAAGCCAGAAGAGAGTGGGGGCCAATATTCAACATTCTTAAAGAAAAGAACTTTCAACCCAGAATTTCATATCCAGCCAAACTGAGCTTCAGAAGTGAAGGAAGAATAAAATCCTTTGTGAACAAGCAAGTACTCAGAGATTTTGTCACCACCAGGCCTGCTTTACAAGAGCTCCTAAAAGAGGCACTACACATAGAAAGGATCAATCAGTACCAGCCATTCCAAAATCACACTGAATGCTAAAGAGCTTCAACATAATGAAGAATCTACAATAACTAACAGGCAAAACAGCCACTTAGCATCAAAATGGCAGTATCAAATTCACACATAACAATATTAACCCTAAATGTAAATGGACTAAATGCACCAATCAAAAGACACAGACTGGCAAATTGGATAAAAATCCAAAACCCATCAGTGTGCTGTATCCAGGAAACCCATCTCACATGCAAAGATACACAAAGGCTCAAAATAAAGGGATGGAGGAAGATTTACCAAGCTAATGGAAAGCAAAAAAAAAGCAGGAGTTGCAATTCTCATCTCTGATAAAATAGACTTTAAAGCAACAAAGATCAAAAGAGACAAAGAAGGCCATTACATAATGGTAAAAGGATCAATACAACAAGAAGAGCTAACGATCCTAAACATATATGGACCCAATGCAGGAGCACCCAGATACATAAGGCAAGTTCTTAATGACTTACAAAAGGACTTAGACTCCCACACAATAATAGTGGGAGACTTTAACACTCCAATGTCAATACTAGACAGATCAACCAGACAGAAAATCAACAAGGATATCCAGGGCTTGAACTCAGACCTGGAGCAAGCAAACCTGATAGACATTTACAGAACTCTCCACCCCAAATCCACAGAATACACATTCTTCTCAGCACCACATCACACCTACTCTAAAATTGACCACATAATTGGAAGTAAAGCACTGCTCAACAAATGCAAAACAACTGAAATCATAACAAACAGCCTCTCAGACCATAGTGCAATCAAGCTAGAACTCAGAATTCAGAAACCGACCCAGAACCGCACATCTTCATGGAAATTGAACAACTGGCTCTTGAATGTTGACTGGGTAAACAACGAAATGAAGGCAGAAATAAAGAAGTTCTTTGAAACCAACGAGAACGAAGACACAACGTGCCAGAACCTCTGGGACACATTTAAAGCAGTCTCTAGAGGAAAGTATATAGCAATAAGTGCCCATATGAGGAGAATGGAGAGATCCAAAATTGACACCCTATCGTCAAAATTGAAAGAGCTAGAGGAGCAAGATCAACAAAGCTCAAAACCCAGCAGAAGACAAGAAATAACTAAGATCAGAGCTGAACTGAAGGAGATTGAGACACGAAAAACCCTTCAAAAAATCAATAAATCCAAGAGCTGGTTTTTTGAAAAGATCAACAAAATAGACAGACCACTAGCCAGATTGATTAAAAAGAAAAGAGAGAACAACCAAATAGATGCAATAAAAAATGATAAAGGGGAAATCACCACAGATTCCACAGAAATTCAAACCATCATCAGAGAATATTACAAACAACTCTATGCGCATAAACTAGTAAACCTGGAAGAAATGGATAAATTCC